TAAATAGTTGGAGAGGCATAGCACATTCACAGATAGAAATTCACTTACTTTCATCTTCTACAGCTATCTTAAGAAAAAAAAAAAGAAATTCACTTACTGTCAAGTTAGTAAAAAATGCCAATGCTTCCCAATATTTTTTTTTTGAGACAGAGTCTTGCTTTGTTGCCCAGGCTAGAGTGAGTGCAGTGGCATCAGCCTAGCTCACAGCAACCTCAAGCTCCTGGGCTCCAGCGATCCTACTGCCTCTGCCTCCCGAGTAGCTGGGACTACAGGCATGCGCCACCATGCCCAGCTAGTTTTTTCTATATATATTAGTTGGCCAATTAATTTCTTCTATTTTTCAATAGTAGAGACGGGGTCTCACTCAGGCTGGTTTTGAACTCCTCCTGACCTTGAGCAATCTGCCTGCCTCGGCCTCCCAGAGTGCTAGGATTACAGGCGTGAGCCACCGCGCCCGGCCAATGCTTCCCAATTTGATATCCAAGTTTAATGCAATTTGAATCAAAATCTCACATGATTATACTAAAATTCATACATAAAGGCAAAGAGACTAAAATAGGTAAAATGATTTTGAAGAAGAATAATAAAATGGTAAGAATCAGTCTGCTCAGTTTTAAGACAATATATAGCCACAGTAATCAAAATTGTATGGTATTAGTGGAGGGGGAAACATATAGATCAATGAAGCAGAAAAGAGAACCCAAGAATAGACCCACTCAAATATGTCCAACTATTTTGACAAAGCTGCAAAAGCAATTTAATGGAGGGACGAGACCCTTTCAACAAACATTAGAAGCATTGGCAATAAACATTCACTGTCAAAAAAAAAAAAAGAACCTACATCTAAGTGGCATACTTAATACAAAAATTGTGGATGATGGTCTTAAATGCAAATGGATCACAAATAAAGGGCTTAAATGTATCATGGGCTTAAATGTAAAATGTATAACTAAGTAACTTTTAGAAGAAAACATAGAATAAAATCTTTGAGATCTAGGATTAGGCAAAGAGATCTTAGACTTTATACCAAAAGCATAATCCTTAAAATAAAAAAAACGACAAATTGAACTTAATCCAAATTAAAAACCTTTGCTCTGCTAACAACCCTGTTAAGGGGATGAAAAGACAAACCACACGAATAGTGGTCACCAGAGGCTGGCGCCTTGGGGTGGTAAAGGGAAGTTGGTTAAGGGGAACACACACACAGATGGAAGGAATAAGTCCTAGTATTGGATAGCACGATAGGGTGCTATCGCAGTTAACGATAATTTATTGTATATTTCAAAATAGCTCAAACAGAAGATCTGGAATGCTCCCAACACAAAGAAATGATAAATATTTTAGGTGATGGATACCTCAATTGCCCTGATTTTATTATTATACATTGTATGTTTGTACCAAAATATCATATGTACTCCATAAATATATACAACTACAGTGTATCAATTTAAAAAATTTCAAATACTAAATTATATCTTCAGGCCAGGCACGGTGGCTTACGCCTGTAATCCTAGCACTCTGGGAGGCCGAGGTGGGAGGGTCGCCAAGGTCAGGAGTTCAAAACCAGCCTGAACAAGAGGGAGACACCATCTCTACTAAAAATAGAAAGAAATTAATTGGCCAACTAAAAATATATAGAAAAAACTAGCTAGGCATGGTGGCGCATGCCTGTAGTCCCAGCTACTCGGGAGGCTGAGGCAGAATGATTGCTTGAGCCCAGGAGATTGAGGTTGCTGTGAGCTAGGCTGACACCATGGCACTTACTCTAGCCTCGGCAACAAAGCAAGACTCTGTCAGTCAGTCAATCAATCAATCAATAAAATCTTCTGACCTCAAAAAATAAAAAGAGAAACTACAGAGTAGGTGAAAATATTTGCAAAACACGTATCCAACAAAAGGAGAGTATCTAGAATATGAAAAGAGTTCTCAAAACTCAACAGTATAAAAGTAAAATGGCCCAATTAGAATACTGGCAATACCAAGAAGAGGAAAAAGAATGATAAAAGAAGACAGAAGAAAAAAAAATAACAGAATACTGGCAAAACCATGAAAAGGCATTTCACAAAAGAGGATATGGACATGACAGATAAGCACATGAAAAGACATTTAACATCATTAGGCATTACAGAAATGCACATTTAAAACACAATGAGATATATTAGCACACACCTATTAGAATGGCTAAAATAAAAAAAATAATGACAACACCAAATGATAACATGGATGTGGAGAATGTAGATCACTCCAACACTGCTGTTGGGAATGTAAATGATAGCCACTCTGGGAAACGATAGAGTAGTATCTTATAAAACTAAATTTTAGCTGGGCACAGTGGCTTATGCCTGTAATCCTACCACTTTGGGAGGCTGAGGCGGGAGGATGGCTTAAGGCCAGGAGTTCAAGTCCAGCCTGGGCAACATAGTGAGACCTCATCTCTATGAAAACAACAAAACCCAGAGAAATGAAAACTGATGTTCACATAAAAACCTGTACACAGATGTTTACGAAGCTTTATATTATAACAGTCCCAAACTGGAAACAACCCAGATGTCCTTCAACAAGTGAACGGTTAAACCAACTGTGGCACTTCCACATGACGGCCTCTACTCAGCAATGAAAAGGAATAGACAATCAATACATGTCTGACCTGGATCAAGCTCAACAGAATTATGCTGCAGGAAAACAGCCAATCCCCAGAGGTTACATACTATATGAATCTCTTTCTATAATATTCTTGAAAACCCCATTTTAGAGATGAAGAACAGATTAGTGGTTGCCAGAGATTCATGAGAGGGTGGGAGTAGGAAAGAAGTGGGTGTTGGTATAAAAGGCAATAGGAGGGATCCTTCTGATGAAGCAAATATGCCGTATCTTATACATGTCAACGTCGATATTCTTGGTTGTGATGTTGTACTATTTTTACAAGATAGATTTTTACTATATATATTATCGTTGAGTGTAAAAAAAATTCAAGGGATCCCTCTGTGTTATTTCTTACAATGGCATGTGAATCTATAATTATCTAAAAATAAAAAGGTTAATTATTAATAAAAAAAGAAAAACAAATCTTTATGTACACCCATTCACAGCAGCATTATTCACAATAGCCAAAACACGGAAGCAACCCAAGCATCTATTGACAGGTAAATAGATAAAGAAAAATGTGCTATATACATACAATAGAGTATTAGTCAACCTTAAAAGAAAGGAAAATTCTGACACATGCTACGACATGTATGAACCTTGAGAACATTATGCCAGTGAAATAAGCAGTCACAGAAAGATAAATACTTCATAATTTCATTTACATAAGGTATCCACAGTAGTCAAATTCATAGAGACTAAAAGTAGAATGGGAACTGCCAGGGGTGGAAAAAGGGAGAAATGGGAAGTTATTGTTTAATGGGTGAGGAGTTTCAGTTTGGGAAGATAAAAAGTTCTAGAGATTGGTTGCACAACAATTTGAATGTACTTACCATTGAACTGTATACTTAAAAATGGTTAAGAACAAAAATTTTATGCTACATGTATTTTGCCACAATTAAAAGTAAAAAATAACAAACAATTAAAAACACAAGACCTTCATGATGATGAACTTTAGTTTACCAGGCAGAAACTAGGTCTTCAGAAGAAAGATAAATAAGCACCGATTTATCAAAACTCCAAGGACAGGGAGGCTGAGGCAGCAGGATCGCTCGAGCCCAGGAGTTTGAGGTTGCTGTGAGCTAGGCTGACGCCACGGCACTCACTCTAGCCTGGACAACAAACCGAGACTCTGTCTCAAAAAAAAAAAAAAAAAAAACAAAAAACTCCAAGGACAGATACCAAACCTTATTAGGTATTAAATTCACAGCATCCTCTTTTGTACTGACTGAAAGTAGCAATTTCTAGTAAGAATTATGGGCTTTGCCTCCTTTGCATCAACAGCACACAGCAGGCGCTGACACGCACGTGCTGAGCAGCGGGGTGTGTGGGTTAGCACAGCTCTGGCAGGGCGGAAGGCAGGAGCCCAGGTAACCTGGCTAACTCCTGCTCATTCCTAGTTCTCCCCACTCCTTGTTTAAAGTCGTGTCAAACGAGCTGTGTGGAAAGCAAACTGTTCAGCTTCCTACATTCTGCTGAGATGTGTTCACAATGTGTCTACTGTTCGCCATGCAGTCTTCTGATGGCCGAGGAGCAGCTGGAGAAAGCAGGAGCCACACCTCCTGTTCCCATGGGAGGGGATAATGCCATCATTACTAAATGCCATGCCTGCCAGTGGAAAGTGTCAGAAGGAGAAATGAATCGGATATAGTCAGAAAGCATGGCCAAAGGCGGCAACTGCACTAGAGAGGTGAGTAAGAACACCTGCTAGACCAGCTCCCGCCCCAACTCCTCAGAGCACCTGCGTAAGCAAGCCATGCATGGACATGCCAACAGGGAACATGCCAAGGAAATTTCTGAACAACCTACTGCATGGTTCTGTGATGGCACTGAAACTATCTGTGTTTTATTCCTTCCATTTCTGAAATACAGATATTGATGAGATAATTTTTACTTTTTGAGACAGAGTCTTACTCTGTTGCCCAGGCTGCTGGAGCGTAGTGGCGTGAGTATAGTGCTGGGATTACAGGTGGGAGCCATCATGCCCAGCCATTATTATTAAATTAAAAAATACCCTGTGAAATAACAGAGCAAAGAGGTTTCCCTTTTTCATAGGAGGGGAACTTAGAAATGCTGAGAGGTCAAGTGATGGGGACTAAGGACCTCTGTTTTCCGCCATTGTTGTCTGCACAAAGCTTCCCGAAGACGGCCTCGCAGTCAGCCTAGAGAGCAGCTGGGACTAGGGGGGCAGGACGGGGGATAGGTGTCTGGTAAGCTCATATCCTGCCCGTTTTAGTTTTCATGGGCTGGGGCTGAAAATCCTGTGTGGCAGTCAGCAAGCTGGCTGGGGTCCTGGGAAGCTGCCCTGGAGCTTACAGAGGCAAACGTGAGATTGCAGACTTGTAGCAATCACTCACCGGGGGCAGCTGGAGAGTGGCCACCTGCTGTGCATCCCTCATAGTCTCTTCCTGAAGAAGGAAAGCATCTTGTGGCACTGAAAAAGATCAGAAAACCGTGTCCCAAAGCCAGCCAGGCCTGGCGCTGACAACTCCCGAGCTGCCTGGGGCTTTTGTCCACTTCAGTTTTGGTGAGCAAAGAAAACCACATGACAGGTCCCAACAGGGAGCTGTTTCATGGTGCTTTTCTGAAAATGCAAGGTTTCTGCTCTTACCTGGAAAATGAGGATTACAAAATGATGCACATGAAAAGCACTCTGCAAACCAAAAGGATTTCTGTTACTTTGTTTTCAGATACAACAATGGAAGCTATAACAGGGAATGCCTAGGTTCAAGTTGGGACGGCCAATAGATAAATAGCTATTTGACCTCCAGTAGGTCCCAGGACCTCAGCTTTGTCATACAAAATACGGGAAAAATAAAGGTTAAAATATTGCAGAGCTGAGGTACCAGTAAGGCCTGTTGGCAATGAGGATCACTGTGGAACTCCAGTGTCATATAAATTTATTTATACATTTATATAAGGGCTGTCTGGGAAGTATCCAGCCATGTAACCATTCTTCTTATATTAACAATGGCTGGATACTTCCCAGACAGCCCTCCTAAGTTTATAAACTGCAAAGATCCATTAAAAAGACTGTTAACCAAATATTGGTGAAGATGTGGAGAAAAGGGAGCCCTTGTACACTGTTGATGGGAGTGTAAATTAGTACAGCCATTATAGAAAACAGTATGAAGGTTCAAAAAATTAAAAATAGAACTACCAAATGACCCAGCAATCCCTCTTCTGAGTATATGGTCAAAGTAAATGAAGTCAGTATCTCAAAGAAATATCTCTACGCCATGCTCATTGCAGCACTATTCATAACAGTCAAGATCTGGGTTCAACCTAAGTGCCCTTCAAGAAATGAACTGATATAGAAAATCCGGTACATATACACAATGGAATACTAGCCTCAAAAAAGAAGGAAATCCTGTCTTTCGTGACATGGATGAACCTGGAGGACATCATGCTAAGTGCAATAAGCCAGGCACAGAAAGACAAATACCGCCTGCTCTCACATGTGGAATCTAAAAGTCAAATTGACAGAAGCAGAGAGTAGAATGTCGGTTACCAGAGGCTGAGGAGGAGGGCCTTCTGGAGATGTTTGGTCAAAGGATTCAAAATTTCAGTTAGATGGGAGGAATAAATTCAAAAGTTCTATTGTACAACTTGGTAACTATAGCTTGTAACAATGTACTGTATACTTGAAACTTACTAAGAGAGTAGATTTTAAGAGTCTTCACCACACACACACAAAAAGATAACGATGTAAGGCAATGCATAGGTGAGCTTGAATCTTTTTTTTTTTTTAAAGAGACAGAGTCTCGCCATATTGCCTACAATGGCTTGGAACTCCTGGGCTAAAGTGATCCTCCTGCCTGAGCCTCCAAAGTAGTTGGGACCACAGGCACAGTGCCACTGTGCCCAGCTAATTAGCTTGATATAATTATTTCACAATGTATACATAAATGAAAACATCACATTGTATACCATAAATATATATATATATACATATATATATATATATATATATATTTTTTTATAGAGATATATATATATTTTTTTTTTGAGACAGAGTCTCGCTTTGTTGTCCAGGCTAGAGTGAGTGCCGTGGCGTCAGCCTAGCTCACAGCAACCTCAAGGCAGAAGGCTCGAGCGATCCTTCTGCCTCAGCCTCCCGAGTAGCTGGGACTACAAGCATGCGCCACCATGCCCGGCTAATTTTTTATATATATATCAGTTGGCCAATTAATTTCTTTCTATTTATAGTAGAGACGGGGTCTCGCTCTTGCTCAGGCTGGTTTTGAACTCCTGACCTTGAGCAATCCGCCTGCCTCGGCCTCTCAAGAGCTAGGATTACAGGCGTGAGCCACCGCGCCCGGCCCATAAATATATTTTTAAAAGTTCTTTAGAAAGGCACTGTCTTCTGTTCCTAGAAGAGCACTTGGTACAGTACCTTAACAACCATCATATCAAAGTGTGGAGTGTGGCTTTGGGACCATCTCACCCTGCCCTATTTTAGGCTACCAGGCCTCATGTCCTAATGTTTTCTCTTCTGATTGATAACTTTACCTTGCTCAGGCTTCTGCAATGAGCTTATAAAAATAAACTTTGTGTTTCAAAAGGTGCTTCTTTCACAGAATACTTGGAAAGCTGTACTATACTCTCTTGATTTAGAGAAAAATCCCAGAGGTCAACCCCAGGTGTGTTAAGTCAACATCAAAACCAACCCCAGAAGCCAGTGTCCCTGACCTTTCAGACCTGGGATGCAAAGCCTTCAGGAAACAGCAGCTGCAGGAGCAGCTATTTGGAACAAAGGACTGGGACAGGAGCTGATGCAGATGGCAGTGACATTCCAGGGGTCCCAGTGGAAGGCAGACTCTTTACTGCTGCCTGAAGGGGACACTCAGGTTGGGAGGGTGTGGACTTGAGGAGGCAGTATTTTTTGTGTACATGTTCAACTAAGGTTTATTTTTTCATCTCTTTAATTTATTTTCATCTCCCAGCTTTATTAAGGCATAATTGACAAATAAAAAGAATTTTATGTATTTTGTGTAAAAAAGTTGTATACAATGTGATGTTACATTTTTACATTGTAAAATAAATCAATCTAATGAATATTTCTATTGCCTCACATACCATTTTTTTTGTGATGAGAACATTTAATATTTACTCTCTTAGTAGTTTCCAAGTATAAAATGCATTATTTTTAACTACAGTCACTACAGATCTCCAAAATTTATTCATACTAACTGAAATTCGTATTCTTTGACCAACCTCTCCAGGAGTCAGTATTTTAATTCTGCTTTCTCACACCTGCCACCTCCTGGGAGATGGACTATAGCCTGACTCTACCTTTGGCCATGATAAATGACTACATGGACACTTTTAAGAATCACTTTTCCTGCACCAGAGCTCAGCGGGACCTGGGCACCTCCTGCCAGCACTGTAGCAATAAATAAATAAATAAATATACAAATTTTAAAAATTTAAATTTTTTTAGTTAAAAAAATTAATTTTTAATTAATTGCTTCAGAACTTCACCAAGAAGCACCTTGGTGCTTAGGCTGTTGTGGCTCCGGAAGCTCTCCCCTCTCCCGAGTGCCTTCCCACACCCCACTACAAGGCCTCTCCCATGGCCTCCTACTTTCTGCATAACCCAGGCTGCTTGCTGCAGTCCCAATCCCCAGAGAACTCAGATTTGACTGTGTTTGGAAATAGGGTCTTTAAAGAGATAATTCAGTTAAAATGATGTCATATGGGTGGGCCCTAATACTATCTGACCGGCATCTTTTGTTAGAAGAAGAAATTAGGGGCCGGCTTGGTGGCTCAAGCCTATAATCCTAGCACTCTGGGAGGCCAAGACAGGTGGATTGCTCCAGGTCAGGAGTTCGAGATCAGCCTGAGCAAGAGCAAGACCCCATCTCTACTATAAATAAAAAGAAATTAATTGGCCAACTAATACATATAGAAAAAATTAGCCGGGCATGGTGGCACACGCCTGTAGTCCCAGCTACTCGGGAGGCTGAGGCAGGAGGATTGCTTGAGCCCGGGAGTTTGAGGTTACTGTGAGCTTGGCTGACGCCATGGCACTCACTCTAGCCTGGACAACAAAGAGGGACTCTGTCTCAAAAAAAAAAAAGAAGAAATTAGGGGCCAGGCATGGTGGCTCACACCTGTAATCCTAGCACTCTGGGAGGCTGAGGTGGGCAGATCACTCAAGGTCAGGAGTTCGAAACCAGCCTGAGCAAGATAGAGACTCCATCTCTATTAAAACTAGAAAGAAATTAATTGTCCAACTAAGAATATATAGAAAAAATTAGCCAGGCATGGTGGCACATGCCTGTAGTCACAGCTACGTGGGAGGCTGAAGCAGGAGGATGGCCTGAGCCCAGGAGATTGAGGTTGCTGTGAGCTAGGCTGACACCACGGCACTCTAGCTCGGGCAACAGAGTGAGACTCTGTCTCAACAAAAAAAGAAGAAGAAGAAATTAGGGCCAGGCTCGGTGGCTCATGCCTGTAATCCTAGCACTCTGAGAGGCCGAGGCAAGGGGATCGCTTGAGGTCAGGAGTTCCAGACCAGCCTGAGCAAGAGCGAGACCCCTGTCTCTACTAAAAATAGAAAAAATTAGCTGGGCATGGGGGCACATGCATATAGTCCCAGCTACTCAGGAAGCTAAGGCAGGATGATCACTTGAGCCCAGGAGCTTGAGGTTGCTGTGAGCTAGGCTGACGCCACGGCACTCTTGCCCCAGCAACAGACCGGGACTCTATCTCAAACAAAGACAAAAAAAAAACAAAAAAAAAAGAAGAGATTAGGACACAGATGCACATAGAGAAAACACAATGTCAAGACCCAGAGAGAAGCTATCTACAAGCCCCGCAGAGAGAGCAGAGAGGACTCGGAAGAACCCAAAGCTGCCACACCTTGGTCTCGGACTTCCAGCCTCCAGGGAGTGCGTTTATTATGTAAGCCAGCTAGTCTGTGGAATGTTATGGCAGCACAAGCAAACTGACACAACTGTCCTGACTTTTAACCAAACACAGGCTTAAGAGTTTATTTGATTTGTATGGAAGTCAGTATAGTTTTGACATAGTGAAATTTAATAGGTATTTTGGTTCATTTACTAAAAAGCTTTTTATAATGCCAAGCACAATTACAAATCACAAGAAAACATTCTGGCCTCTCAGATTCTCTTTTTCCTTTAGGAAAGTGTACAGCAATGCTTCAAGCCCACCCAGAATAACTTACTCACCAGAGACTTCCTTCAACCTGAGGGCACCAAAATTTCCCATGATAATTACTTCAACTTAAAGTTTTGAGTGGCTCAGGCCTTGTGCTCAACATTTTATGGGTTGGATCTCACTTCATCCTCAAAAAAATAAAAAAAGTAACTACTCTCTCTACTGGACAGAGGAAGAAACCAAGGCTTTGAGAGTTTAGAAGCATGTGCTGGGTCATACCTAGAAGATTTTAAAGTCGAGTTTATCTGGTGACAAAACTATCTGCCTGTAGCCACTGTACATTTTGTATAGACATTCAAGCCATGCCTAACAGCCATTCAGGCTCCATACACGGAAGCCTTTTACAGTATTTTTATATCTCCTTGCAGCATCACAATGATTTTGCAGCCAAGGAAATAGAGGTTCTGAGAGACAAGAAGAAATGGCCATGTTCAGCTCACATTACCGGTTCTAGTTGTATAGTGACGGTCCCTGGCTGTCCCCAAACTGACAAATCCCACAGAGATGCACTCTCAAAGAGATGAGGAGGCACAACCTTAAAGACACCCACCTACAGAAGAGTTTCTCTCTGGGAAGACATAGCACACGAAGAGAACAGACATCCTCCTGAGATTCTAATTCAATTGCTCTAGGGAGGGACTCACTATACTCCTCAGGGTATAGGAGAAGAGCTTTGATGTATAAAGTTATCAGCTTAACAAAAACCACACCCAGCTCACAGTATGGGGTATGCAGACTCCCAGCTCACCCTTCCACATTCCCTAAGGCTGCATACCTGTGTCTCCATTGAGTTGGCCTGGTGCTCTGCTTGGGAGCCCAAAACCCTGTGCCAGGGCCACAGGCTGGGCATCCTGGCTCTTTGCAAGGTTGCTCTGGGACTCCACTGACAGCCGCTCCTGCTCCTGTTCCAGAGGGCTGTCCCCATCATCAATCACCACAGGGTCTTCACAGTGCTTGAGCTGCAATCCGAGAGAGATTTTCAGGGCCAGGTGGGGAGGTTCCCTCCCTCCCTGGGCCCGCTGACCATAGAGTCCACAGCTGACCACCAAGTTCAACCTGAGCCTTGGATGGGGCTGGGGGGAAGGGGGAATAACACAATCATGCCCAAATTGGAGCCTTTATGGAGTGAAACCTGTTTTCTTAGGAAACTCCAGTCTGAGCCTAACCAGGCTGAGCATGGGGCTGTCCAGCTCAGGTCACTCCCATCCCAGTCCCACCCCTCCACTCACCCACTGCCAGGGTCTCCCAGGCTCCCGCTCCAGCGCCTCCACGGCAGCCACAGCCTGCTCGCCACTCTCGGGCTCTTGGGCCCGCACCCAGCTCTGAATCTCCCGGGGCAAGATGGCCAGGAATTGCTCCAGCACCAGTACTTCTAAGATCTGCTCCTTGGTGTGCCTCTCAGGCCGCAGCCAGCCCCGGCACAGGTCCCAGAGGCGGCGCAGGGCCTCCCGGGGGCCTGCTGCCTCCTGGTAGCGGAAACGGCGGAAGAGGCGACGAGAGGACTCAGGGCTGGGAAGCTCCCCCTGGGGGCTAGGGTTCTCTCCAGGTGGGCTCCTCATTTTCCTGGGCTCCTCACTTTCTTTTGGAGCCAAGACTCGGGGGCACAGGGCTGTGGGCATGATGGGATTTGATGGGGGTCAGCAGCAGAAGACGACCCTATTTCCAAACAGAAATCGCTGGCTTCAATGTTCTGGTTTTCTTCAGTCATTTCTGGGGAGTAATGATAGGGAAACTGACAAAGCCCACAGAGACCAGCCCTTTGGAGAAGCCTTGGGAAGTATCAGTGTGGTTGATCCTTTCACATGAGAGTGGGAGAGAATGATCCGCCCCATCAGTATCATTACATGTGGATACCCCTAAATGGGTGACTAAATGAACAAAGCAGGAAATCTGGGAGAAGAGTGGTGGCATTTCAACATGACATTGGTGTTTTAAGCATCCCAGGAGACCAACAGGGCCACATACAAGAAAAACATGTAATCAAGACTCTCTGGTACCTTTGGTAGCCAGGTCCTCCTGGAGAGGACCCGAGATAGACGTGTCAAGCAGGCCACTACCTTGAGGCTTTGGAGCCAAAGTCGCCGTCCTTGTTCTTAAGAACTTTACAAACTGAGCTGGAAAGACAAAGACATACATGCATTAGAAAAACCTTCAAAGTGTATCCAGGAATGGAAAATTTATCCTGCTGATGGCGGACCACTGGTGCTGCATGCTGGACGGTCAACAGAGCCAGAATCAGCCTCTCCCAGCAGAGCCTGCACTGGGCAGCAGGGGATAAGCACAGGCAAGAAGACACCCAGACAGAGATGGGGAGAGTCACAAGAGGTGGCCAGATGCAGTTTACCAGAGAGAAATAACACTGTGTTTAACATCAGTGCTTTCGTATGAGAGTTCCACCCAACCCACTTGAACATTTCAACAGTAATCTTTGTCATATATGAAAAGATACCTTGACCTTCAACCTTGTCTCCACCTTCTTCCCTAGTGCTGCCTTCTTCAAACCAGTCAAGGCATGACACACACCTCACAGACCTTCCCCCGCCAAGACAGAAGAGAGGATCACTCACCGCACAGCTCTCAGCCCTCACGGAGACCATGGGTGTCACAGGCCACGACATACATTCCCACGATGGGAGTGAGGGGTCCCCACACCTCCTAGGCTGTGGTGTCGACAATCCAACCCAGCCAACACACAGAGTGGGACAACAGAGAGGACGGGTGTACCTGACTGGGGTTCACTGATCCATGCTTTGGGACACAGGGAAGTGAAAGAGCAGATGGGGACACACATGCGCCACTGCCATCAAGCCTCTCCGGTCTCTAGGCACAGCCACTGGCCCTCCGCCCCCAACTGTATGTGGGTCTCCAGCCTGGCAGCATCTTAACCTCCAACAGGTCACAAGGTGCAGATGGGGCAAAAGAAGACAAGTGATGCCAGAAAAGCTACAAAGCAACTGAGTGGCACAGGAAAAACCCAAATCTCTGAACCTCTTTGCTTTCCAAAGTAAAGACGCACAGTCAGGCAGGAGGGGACTGTGAAGGAGTCTGGCTGGACCTGCTGCAGCTCTCCTCACCACCGGATTCCCGTCCCCAGCGCGACGGCATGTGGCCGCCCCCCGGCCCCACCCACTCTGCTCACCTGCCCCCTCAGGCCGCCTGCGGGTCCCGACTGCTCGGGTCCGCCGCGAGCCGAGGCACCGAGCGCCCCCCTCAGCATCCCGTTCCTGCGGGGACTCCGCTCGGAGTCGTCTCCAACCAGACAACCGTGCTCCCCTTTGTCACCCGGGCACCTGACGCGCGGGAGGCTCCGAGGATCCTGATGAATGAACTAACGTTCGCGGGAGGGCTCCGCGGGGCGGAGCTAGCGCCCGGCTCTCGGAGGAGGGCCGAGCAAGGAGCAGAGCCGGCAGAAAGGCAAGGAGGCGCTCGGGGCCCGGGGAGGGACGCTCGCGCTCGCGCCCCGCCGCTTCCCGCCGTCCTCACCTCCCGGCCGGGAGCGCCGCCCAGCGCCCGCCGCGGAGCCCCCTGCTGCGGCGGAAGTGCGGGGCGGCCGCGCCGCATCCTCCAGCGCTGCCCCGGGGTCCTCGCTGCGGCGCGGTCTCCGCAGGGCCCGCCGCGCTCGGCCCGCGCCCATCCAGGAACCGCGGCTCGGCCAGGGGCAAATGGAGGCGCCTGAGCAACAGCCGTGCCGCCGCGTCCCCGCCCGCACGCCCGGCGACCCTCCCCGGCGAGCGGCGCCCGCACGGCGGGCGGCGCGGGCCGGCGCCGGCCGCCGCACTCACGGCCGGGCGCGTCGGGTGGCGGGCCGCTCAGGCCTGGCGTCGCGGGAGCCCGCCGGACGCCGCGGAAGGAAAGGCCGGAGCCCTCCGGCTCCCTCCCCTGGGACACTTCCTGCTCCGCTCTAGGACCGGGGAGGTCTCCGCATCTCAGTGGTTCGCTCCCGGCCCCCCGGCCGCGGTGTGCGCGGGGGTGACATCCGACACCCCCGGCGGCCGCCCGGCCCGCCCCCGCGCGCACCCGGCCTGGCCGCCGCGCCGGCCGAGGGCGCCGGCCCGGGCCGAGTGGCGCCGCGCGGGGCTGAGGGCGCCGCGCCGGGGCCGAGTGCCGCCGCGCCGGGGGCTGAGGCGCCGCGCCCGGGCCGAGTGCGCCGCGCCGGCGGGCTGAGGCGCCGCGCCGGGCCGAGTGCCGCCGCGCCGGGCGAGGCGCCGGGCCCGGGCCGAGTGCCGCCGCGCCGGCCGAGGGGCGCGGCCGGGCTGAGGCCGCCGCGCCGGGGGCTGAGGGCGCACCACGGCGGCCTGGCTTCCGCGGGCCCGCGCGGGGGATGGGGCGGGCGGACGGAGGCAGGGGCGTCGAGGCGCGGCGGGCAGGGGCTGAGGGCGCGGCGGGCAGGGGCTCTGCTCCCCGGCCCGCGACCCCGCTCGCCCAGGCCCGCGGCGGCGCGGCTCAAAGCGGGAGTGGGGGCGAGGGGCGAAGGAAGGGGCTCCCGCGCTCCGCCGCCCCGTCCCGGACCCCCGAGGCCAGCCCGCCCGCCCGCGCCGCGGCAGGCCCAGCCGCTCCAGCCTAACCCCTCGGGGCCGCCCCAGCCGCCTCCGGGCCGCGCGGCTGCAGCTCGCCCACCCCGTCCCCGCGCCGGACACGCCGGCGTCGCCGTGGGAAGGCTGCCCGCCGCGTGGCCGCCCGAGGGCCGGGCGGGTCGCCGCCCCTGTTCACACGGGCACCGGGAGGGCCCTGGCCCCAGGTCGTGTGGCGCCGAGGGCAAGCGGGGCCTCGGGATCCCGCCCCGAGACCGGGCGACGGGGCTGCCGGCCAGCACCCCGTGCTCACTGCGTCCACAGTCTCGCTGGCGTCCCGGGACGTCCGCACTGTGCGGGCTCCGGAGCGTGGGCGACAGTGCGCCCGGTCCCTGAGCAGCCCGATCCCCACAGCCTCTTCTCCACCCGCCCGCACTGCAGCTGGGCTCTCCCACGGAAGAGAAAAATCTCCATCTACTGGAGGGGAGCTGCCTCGGGTAGCTCTGATTTCCTTCAGGGCCTGTTTCAAGGGCAAGCAGAAGGAAACCAGTTCCCCCAGAGAAAGTGGTTTGGCCAAGGAAGTGGGGAGAAGGTGGTCGGACCAAGGCACAGGATCCCTTAGCTGCGTGGCTCTTCCCACTCCACGGGCTTGGGTGCCTCCATTTCCTCTTCTAAATTACTGGAATAAGCACTTCTGACAAGCAGAATTACTGGGAGCCACCATTTGTTAAATGCCCAGATTCTGTGACTTTAGCAGGAGATGGACTAAACAAAGGAGTGGCACTGTTGTTTGTAAACAGTGATTGTTCCCCACATCACAGTCACACTGGGCAGGGCTGTCCTGGAGCCTAAGGATACCAGTAGGAGCCACCTCCCTTGACCTTGTGTGATTCATGCTCACCTTTCAGGAGCACCAGCCAGGAACCATGACCTAGAGGAGAGGCATTGGGGGGCGGGGACCAAAAATCAGCAAAGGCTGGTCAGGCTTAGGCGCTTTAGCAAACGTGCCAGCCTGTGGTGTTCTGCAGCAGTCCTGCTGGAGCTCCCAGCCCTGTGACTGGCCCAGGAGCCAGCAGTTGAGTGTTTGGGGATTGGTGCTCATAGCTCTGCCCCCTTGCAAACCTAAAGCAGATAAAATGTAAGGCCCACAGTTGCCAGCAGACGGCATCAGATTAATTCCCAGTACTCAATCCGGTTCCTTCTCTGAAATGACACCTCCCTGCACAGCTGTCCCTCTCACTGTTACCCTTGTGAGGCTCGGAATATACTTTTTGTTTCTTCTGCATTTGGCTCAACACGGGTTAAGAGTCTGGGTTCTGGAATCAGATCACCTGGGTTCAATCTTGCCTCATCAATTCCTAGCCAGGCGAGCTCTGGCCTATGCAACCTTTCTGTACCTCAGTTTCCTCATCTGTAAAGGAAGGATGATGCTCATTTCTTGACTTTGTGGGATCATTCAGCAAAAGTGTACTGAGCACCTGCTGGGCATTTGTAATGCTAGGCACCCTTTCAGGAGCTCAGATACATCCGTAAACACAACCAGCTCAACTTGCTATTGGAAGGGAAGCAAAGTCAATGACGTGGTCTGCACTGTAGAAATAAAAGGGAGACAGTGCTGGGGAGGGGCTGGTGATGGTCACAGTATTAAAGAGGATAGGACAGGCCTCACTCTGAAGGTGATATTTGAGATGAAGGAGTTGGTCAAGCTTGTAGCTGGGTGGGCCTATCCCACTTACTGGCCACCTTGACAGCAAAGGCCCTGGGGTAGGGAGACGTACAAAGCAAGGTGGCCAGTAAGCAAGCAGGGGCACTGGAGACCATGGGAAGGTGTTTTCCTCTGCACCAAATGAGGTATCACATACTGTTGGTGAAGCATGGGGAGGAGGACCCTGCATGTGTATCCCACTCAGGGACCATCAGCAGTCATCATGCCTGATGTGTACATTTATTCGGTTTATATTATGTTGCTGATTGTGTATGTTTTTATGAAATGTTTGCTGTGTGCCAACAGTTATTCCATCCTTGGGGAAATCATGGTAGACAGAAGAAATATCCTAGTTCCGAGAAGCTGGGAGGGGAATCAGGTAATAAATAAATGACTCTGCAATATAATGCCATTAATGATAGGTGTCATGAAAAAAGTAAAACGGTAAGGAGGAGCGTGCTGGGACAGTCAGGCAGGGCCTCTATAAGGAGGTGACATTTGAGTGGGGAGCAGGTGGGGGGCACCTGAGCAGAGGTATGTGGGAATTCCAGCAGAGGGAACAGCATGTGTGAAGGAGCTTGCAGCATGAAGTGGGAGCTCACTTGGCTGGGTAGAAGAATAGTGAGAAAATGAATGGTGGGATCAAGTGACTGGATTTTGCACTCATTAGAACATTTCAAGTAGAGGGGCGTGGCCTGATGGGATCTTTATTTTACTGAGATTACTAGACAGAACAGATTGGAGTGGGACAGAGGAAGAACAATTCTTATTAGCAACTGCTGCAGAAATCCAAGCAGGAGATACTGGGTTCTGGAGTCAGGAGTCAGCTGGTGGAGGTGGAGTTGGTGAGCAGTGGCCTGATGCAGGCTCCATTCAGGCTCTGCGTTAAGGCAGAGCAGAGATTTCCCAGTAGCCTGCTGTGAGGTTAAAGGAGTGAGGAATAACTGCAGTTCCAGCCTGAAATGGTTGACTGGAGTATCCATCCAGAGATGGGGAATTTCAGGAAGCAGATTTCTGGGAAAGAGTTGAGTTTGGGGTTGAGATGGTAGGTTTGGGACTTGCTGGTTTCAAGATGCCCAGTAGACAAGTAAGTGTTAATGACTCTGTGGAGAAGAAAGCCACAGCTGCAGGTGGAAGTCTAGGGCTGGAGCATGCAGCATGGATTGAGAGTGGATTGAGAAGCCCCTCTGGGAGGGCAGACCCAGGGAAATGCCAGCACTGACCCCAGGGAAGCCCCATGGGAGGAAAGGAAGGGGAAGAGGGTGGGGCTGTTGTCACTTTGAGGTAGAAGGAAAACTGTAACTGCAAGTGCAGTGCCCTGCACTCCCAGTGAGGCAAGCGTGTTTCAAGGAAGAGGGAGGGGTCAGCAGGGATAAATGCTGCATAGAAAGTTAGATGAGCAAAAACCACTGACCATTGAATTTGGTGAAGAGCCCCCCTGAGCAAAGCAGAGACACGGAGCTACTGGGCCAGCGTACTTTTTGGAGAGAGAAGGGAGATGAGGGAGTGGAGACAGCCCTGGAGAAAAATGGCTGTGGCCATTGGTCCCATCTTAAAGATGGGAGAAATGACAGTGTATGGCCTAGAAGAGGGAGTCCTGGGGTCCAGGGCCTACTGATAAAGAGATTGGTTCTGATAAATTTGGAGTCATTCAGAAGGCTGCACTCAGGGATCCATAAGGCCAAATGTGGCCCCAAGACCACAGGTTCCCTACCCTTGGAAGGGGAGGCCACCTCTAGACCCCAAGGCCGGTCAGTAGGACCTGTGTAGTGAGAGTCTGTGGCATGCTTCTTCCAACTTTAACAGTCAAGTAAAATAAGAAATGGATGTGATGGTTTATTTTATGTGTTGATGAGGCTATGGTAACCCAGTCTAGATGTTTCTGTGAGGGTGTTTTTTAGAT